ATTCTATATTGCATGGGGATGGAATAATCTAGAATTGATCAGTGATAAGAGAGTGATCCATTGGAAGGCTAAAACGTCACGATTGCATATTTATGTTTACATTGATCTCTGCTCAATTAAATGAACAAATAATCACTTCTACCACTTCAATTTGCATTTCCCTTGAAACAATGTTCTAGAATCAAAAGACCATATATCAATTGAAACAATTTGAAGTTGCAAGTTGATTCTTCAATAACTAAAATAGAACTCCAATAACAGAGGATTGTAATAAGCTGAATGCGGAAAATAAGAAACTTAAATATTAGATTTTTGTTACACCAATTCAAACTTCCCTTAATTCCATACTTCCTAAACTGCAGATAAAGTGAACTTACAATTCAAATAACAAATTTTAGACACAATATTTTATAACAACATTGCAAATTCTTGAAACAATTCATAGTAGATAATTCTTCAAAGAACATTATAGACATGAAAAAAATTCAAGTGCAAGCTGATGGACAAGACTCTCTTTTCCTTCTTTTCCCTTTTGCTTATTACAACAATAATTTTTTCAGATAGAAATTGATTAAAGTACAAAAAGAAGAAAAGAGGAATGGAAAAGGAAATGCATGAAAGCCACCTATTATAATGTGGTGGCAATCAAAAACAGATGGCACAATATTGAGAATTGAATAGTTAATGGAAATGACGACAGTATCCTTTCTAAATTGAAATTTGATAAAAAAAACACACATGATACCAATAGGGACTGACTCTTCTAATATAGTAGAAAATCTTATTTCAATATTGTAATAACTATTTAATTTTATATTTGAAAAAAAATAAGAGAATAGGAGTAAATAATGTTTTAGCAAAGAAATCTCTTTTGATGTTTTAGCAAAGAGCCTTGTTGCAAAGGAAGTGTACAAAGAAATAAAGTGTGAAGGGTATTTTTGTAAACATACATTTTTTTAATAGAAATTATGTAAGATTTGTTATTTCTAATACATCAAACCAAATAGTGTATAAGAAATAATGCAGGCATAACTAATGTAGGCATTACTAATGCAAGCACTACTAACGCAAGCATTACTAATACACCTTATTTTGCATTGTTCTTATACACTCTACCAAACGACCCCTAAATATACTGATGCCAGTTGGCCTGCATCGTCTTATGATGCAGACACAAGTAACTAGGATCTGTATCCAGCGCATCGTTGATCCAGTGAGCACTCCAGAGTTCAGTTGGTGAGCCTCCTTGCATTTCGGAGGACTCCTTTTGCTTTCAGTTTTATTATCAGTTCATTAGGATGTTGTGGGGTTTGACCCAACATCCATCTCAGTTATTTTAGAGGCTTCATAGATAGTCAAACAGTTAGTTATGAGTCTTTTAGCTTTGTATTTTAGATGTTTTTCTATGAGACTTGAGTAGCCATTTTGGCTAGTTTGAATGCTTTCTTTAAAGACATTCTAAGATTTTTCATAAGTTCTTTATTTGAGGTTATTTCTAAAGTTTAAGTCTTCCGCTGAGTAAGTAAGCCAAACCAAGGGTTCGCTTGGGACCAACAATAATTCTCGAGTGTCAGCCACGTCCGGAGTGTAGGCTCGGGGCGTGACACATATCACATGTCAAAATTACATGACATGCTCAGCGAAATGAAAGACCAATAAAAATATGTTACATGTGCACAAGTGACATGTTCTGACCAATCAAATATCATCATGTCACTTGCATCTAATTGGCCAAAGGAAGCATTTCTCGTCACAATTATGTTATTCTAAAATTATAAATTAGGGTTCTCATAATTCAGAAAATCTACAAGAATTCTAACAAGAGGCCACAGAAAGGGCATGGATCAAATTCCACAAATTTCTTGTCATGATCCAAAAATCAAGGTCATGATGACACACACCTCGAGAACCCCAAAATGGTGTGTAAGCCGAAAGAATCACACATACGAGACTCTCGAAGAGTAGTCAGACCATAGACAATAGAAAAATAACAAGAAATATCTGAAAACCTGATAGCATAAATATAAAGAGCACCTAGTACATTTCTAGAATCTGAACTACATCTCAAGTCTTCTAAAAGTAAGTTAAAGACTTTAAACAATAGAAAAAGGTAGAAGTATCCCCCTAGACTATGACCGAAATCCCACAAACATACCTTAACTAAACTAAGGTCCTATTACCCCTTAAATCCATTTTTTTTGTAATTTTGTGCACCTTTTTGGCTTACGTGGCATCCAAATATCTCCCACGCGCCTCAATTGTGTGGAGTCACGGAGTGTGCCACGTAAGACAAAAGGTGTACACAATTACAAAAAAATAAGTTTAGGGGGTAATAGGACCTTAGTTTAGTTAAGGTGTGTCTCTGGAATTTCGGTCATAGTCTAGGGAGGTACTTGTGCCTCTTTTGGAGATGGAGACTAATGGTGATCTGTAAAGCAAAATCTCACCACAACTCCAAAAGAAAGAACTCTGCTGGATCCAATCAACTGCAATGAGACTCACCTTAACTAGGGTCTGCATCAAAGGGATAACAAAAGTAGGGGGTGGGTACAATTCACATGTACTCAGTAGGTTGGACCAACTGAGTATAAGAAATTAAATAGACTTAAGAAATAAACTATGAACGCCTTCATCTGCACGCAGAAAAGTTCCATTCCGGCATCGCCGCCGCCAATTTATATAGAACGACATAAATAAATTAAACAAATAAAAGTACAAATAATACTTAAATTAGCACATAAACAAGTCACATAACACAATAATACTAACCAATGTGATGCAAAGAGATAATGAAATGGTGGAATGATGTGGTGGTACCAAGGTTGCCAAACAACCTATTGTATACACCTTGTCGAGACTCTAGCTTCTAAACAAGGATCCACAGGGGACTCACAATTCATATATCAATCTCAATATTTCAATGTCTCATCAACTTGTCACCTCAGCGTGATCAATGATATACGTACAGTGTCACATTTTCTTTCTCAAAAAGATAATATTTCTTCACTTTCTCATATTTTCATGAACCATGATATGTTGCATGAGGATGATTGCTTCACAACACATATAACACAAGAACATAATCAGCTCATCAAAGATTTCAAATAGAATCAAGTTTCCAAACTCAATAAGTCATGAAACATGTTCTCAAAGGATAGGGGTAGTGGAGGAAACCTTTAAAACCAACCTTTTACCACTTATAAAACATTTTTGTTCATTTTTAAGGTGGTTCAAAAATCAACTCAAACCCCTACTCGGGCATCTCTACGTCAAATATAAACATAAGTCACACAACCCCTCTCTTAGAAAATTGCTCAAATATCACAGAATTCCCATATCAAATACAGACATCACACAAGCCCTCAATACAAGCTAAGCAACACAAATAGACATCATACGAAATAAAACATGAAGATCAAAACTTACCAACCTCTAAAACATATACAACAACTTATTTCACAGTTGACTTCTTCAGAACAAGTTAATTACTCAGCTCAGGCTAGAAGAGGGATAGCAAGGCCGAAACTTCCCGAACATCTCTATCGGAGTAAATTCTCAACCACACTCTAACCGGAATGATCCTAAACTATCAAGAATGAGAAAAGTTCATCAAAAGGAGTCCAATGATACCCATATTGATAGGATTTGAATATCAGTGGTAAAATAGTCCATAAATTACTTTGGAAATTGAAAGGGTAAAATTAGATTTATTTATTTTTTTGAAAATCAAGTTCTATAGGTCAAGAGGAGTTCGTGGTTGGAAAATCCATTATTAACAAGCAAGAATCAAGCTTCAAATCAAGAAATTACTCATTTTCAATTTGGGAATAAAACCCCAAAACCCATATTTGAATCTTCATTTTTAAGTATTTTGGAAGATGAAATTCAAAGAAAACGATATAAAATCGATAAAGGGACTTATCCATACAAGTTTTTCTCAAGAAATTGGTTCCAAAGTCTCCCTCTCAAGCCCCCAATATGAAAAGAATGGAGAAGAAAGTGAATAAAGGGGGGCTGATTTTAGACATTAATTGATTGTTTGTCCGTGTGTTGACCGCGGTCAACATCAGCAAAATCAATTCCCTAACTTATTAAAGTCTCCGAACAGATCTTCATGATTCATTCAGGATCCAATAAAAACAAACCATATATGTTACCTCACTAAATTCGACATTTCAGACTCAATGGAATTGTCAGATTTCTCTAAAAAGACCATTTTGACAAAATTACCCTCTCAGACCTCTTTTTAGGCTTAAAACTCAACTTCTCACTTAAGCACCCAACTCTCAATCCAAGGCCTCAAAAACCTTACCAACCATTCTTCTAGCTCGAACTCGACGTTCCTGACGCGATGTAACTGACAGAATTCTCATTCGATACTCGAAACTCAAAATATTGACCGAGGTCAATCCTATCAAGAATTCTCAACTCAAGAGGGGTCAAATCACCAAAAACACACCCGATCACATCGGGGACCACACCAACCATTCCTAAAATACAAACTAAGCATGAAAATACTACGAAAAAGGACAAAATGGTCATTTCACAAATAAAACCAAATCACAAGAAATGAAACATTATTTGTCTACAAGCTACAAGCATTCAACAACTCAAGCATTTCGTCTGTCTATGTCATACATAACTTCTAGTGCTCTCCAGATGTCATAATTCTGCTGGCCCACGTGTCTTACTTATTTTTACTCAATATAATAACCTTGATAATAGTTGTGTATAAGTAGATATTATTCCTATAACCATATATTTTCAAGATACCTTATCATGGTCAAAAAATGAAATTGAATAACGAACTCATAATAAACATGCATATTTCATATAAATATAATAAAATTTGAACAATAACATATTGTAATTAAAATGGTATTACATAAATTAAAACAAAGTAAGTAATCATTTTGCTCTTCCCCCTTTGTTTCTCCTAATGTACTTATTAGGAAGAAAAATCACCTATCTACATCCACCTACAACACCACAGGCTGACCTTTTGGTATATCCAACATAATATAATAATATAACATAATTATCTTAATGAATGTGTAGGTTAATTATTCAAATGAGGGGTGTAATTTTAACACCTTTGATAACAAGACCTGTTTTCCACTCCTTGTTTTCATCCAGATGAAACTGAATATCCCCATGGGAATTAAATCGTGGATTGAAGAATTCCCCAGCTAAAATTACAAATGATTTCTGAGAGCCTTTTTCTGCTAAATTAACTTTATTTTGTATAGCTTCATTCCATGTCTTTCCTGGTGGTATTAATACACTTCTAACTGGATTCTTACTCCATCCAGAAACATGTTTCCCTTTTCTGAATCGTAACACAAATTCAACTTTGTATTTCGTGTCTGGTGAAAGAAACTCCGTGTTAAAACTCCCATGAACTGAAAGTAACTTCACTTCTCCCATCACTGCTATTTCAGCGCTCATGTCTCTGTAAAATGTATTTTTACCTACTGTAAGTCTATCAGAAGCAATCTCTACGTAACTTCACAAGTTAAGGTGTAGGGTAAGTCTATCTAGATTCTACTTCAAAGCCCACTTATACGATTACATTGAAATGTTGTTTAAGTGTAAGTTTGAACTATAATAAATAAAAGAACTAAATAAATGAAGTGTAAAATTGATCAATAATGTAATGAAACAAGACAAGCCCAATGGTCACTTCAATAAAGGAGACATTTAGCAATAATATATTTTTCTTTAACAATAATATTTTTTGTCACAAAAATATTTAGCGATAATTGAATAAATGTCATTACATTCAGACAAGGGCGGCTCTGAAGGCTTGGCCAGTGAGGCCATTGCCTTAATTAGGCCTCAAAAATTTGAAGGCCCCAAGTTTCTTTAAATTATTGTTATTAATATAATTTATATAAATAAAATTGTTTTTGTATATTTTTTATTATAATTTGTTTGAGAGTATTTTTTACCAATAAGTTCATAAATTCTCATAATCTTTTCACTCATTATTTGATATATTTGTTTTAACTTCCAATTTTAAATTTTATCCTTTTTATATAGGAACTAAGTTATATATATATTGATAACATAATGAATTTTTTTTCAATCTTTTCTTAAACTGCGTGAACACAAAAACATTCATGCACAAGTTTCCTTTTCGTTTTAATTTAATTTATTATATGAAAATTTTATAATTTATTTTAGATATTCACCAATGAGTGCTACTCAATGGAATGAATTATATCATTTAAATTGATCACAAATTTGATAAGAAGGTGTATATATTTTTGTTACTATCCATGTTCAAAACTTCAACTATTAAGTTATGTATGTTCTTTTCTTTTTCTTATTTATGATGATAGCCAAATTAAATTTAAATTTGAGTTTTGAAGCTTAACATCGATAATCATCACTTTATTTTTTGTACTCTTCTTCCTTTTCTTTTTGTGTGTGTGAAAATTGTTATTTTTTGTCTTAAATGATTAATCTATTGTGTAGAAAATAATTTTTCTTGTTGGTGTATAAACTTTATAAAATAAATTTAAGGGCCTCTTACTATGATTTTGCTTTAGGTCACGAGATCTGTCGCCCATGCATTCAGAATCGATAAAGTCTTTGATAATATTAATATAAAATGCTTGCTATTTAGTTTCATATATATTATCGTAATGAGTAAAGGAAAAGTACAATTTTTGAAAAAGATTATGAAGCTGTAAAAAAAGAGAATATATACTCCACGCACTACATTATTCTTTTAGATATACATATGCATAAAGTTTTATATGTTTCTCATTTCGACGCCTTTAATATTTTAATGAATAGTTCTTTTTTTTTTTCAAATTAAAAGTTGAAGATGGAAATGATAATAATTATTAAATTTATAGGAACCAAGGATTTGCAATTGAAAAATATTTTTTTTAAAATAGGAATAGTGATCAAGGGCTTACTCTTTTGATCTCTGCCATGTCCACTTACGATGATCCATTTGGTCAATAATTGTGAGATTTTTTGCAAATAACACGAAGCAATTTTTTCCTGTCTCTTTATCCACCCAATACTGCATTTATCCAAACTATATTAACTCCTCACATCATATCTACCAATTATTAAAAACACAACAAACTAATAGAAATTATAACTCCTTCGCCTATCATTTTTATTTGGTTATTTATTGATTTTATATATTCCGAAATTATTACTTTCCCAGCTTTCATTTAGTTGTCAGGTAAACTAAAAATATATTTATCAATTTTTTAAAAATCAAGAGAGATTATTTATTTATTACCAACTTTGCCGACACATAAATAAAAATTAAAGAATTAATAAGAGATATATAAGTCAAGTAACACCTTAAGAAAATCTTATCATGACAACTAAATGAAATCTGGAGAATAATATATATATATATATATATATATATATATATATATATATATATATATATATATATTATAATTATGCTTCAAAATCAAAATTTCATTACTACTTCCGTTCCATACGATATATATGATATTCTTAGCTTTTATATATAATCCAAAATATAATAAAAAAGGTATTAATTTATATATTTTCACAAATTTACCTAAGTGGGTTTTACATAATAAAGAAATCACATTTGATTTAGTAAACACCTCTTAGACCCTAAAAATACCATATATAATATGAATAAAAAGAGTAATATTTTTATATAATTATTTAATGATAAGGATAATTTGTGGTGTAAAAGTACCTTGGTCTTGCCATCTGAAAAGACTATTCCTTGATAGAGAATGTCATAAAGTTTGTCCTTGCAGTAAGTATGGACATCCATAGATGCATCTTTTAGTATTTCTGAACATCTGTGTGGAAGATCATTTAGATCATTTGTATAACTAATTTGCACATTTGTATTGTTGTCAACACTTGCACTTTTAGTACAAAGATAATTGTTGCAACAAAGACTCTGACCCATTTTTCTCATAAATACTTTATAATTATGAAATTGGGCTTTAAAGAAGCTAGAAAGCATCTATTCTCTATGAAATTGGGCATATTTTTTCACTATTATATGTTGCTAATGTTGTTGATGCCCTTTTATAAAAGTCTAGTGAAAAACAGAATTTTATATTAATAGTACGAGAATCATTTGATGGCTTAACTGGACATATAATTATTCTTGTGTTTTCTTATTGGACTTTATTAGTCCTCCTATGTAATCAGAGTTACAAATTGTTGTTGTTATTATACTTAATTCTTTCTTTCTTCTTCTTCTTCTTATTTAGAAGTGACGGTTTCAAGGACGAACACTGATATATCATTTTTATGATGCAATTGACACGTACATAGTTGCAAAAGCATATTTAACCTGATAGAAGACACGTATCTTTATTAGCTATAGTTAAATACCATTTTACCCAATAAATATTATGAAAATTCCTGTACTATCCTTATTCATCCCATCTCTGATATACAAACTTCACTGCCTTGATATAGCTCTCTTGAAAATCGGTGTTTCCCTTCTTGCTCAAATGTGAAAATATTTTTAACTCCTGGGTATACTTAGTTCCCGTATAATCTTTGAAGAAATGAACTGTACTCTTACTCTTTCCTCAACTCAAAGCTTAAGTCTTAAAACAAAGTTAAAATGTTTGTGAAAGACTTTTGAAATACTTTATGAACTTCTCTTGACTTAATTCTTAACTTCTAGACTTGACTCTTAACTTTCCTTGAATTTGAATTTATGGATTCAAGGATTGTGATTTGTGATAGAAAAGATCTCATGATGTTTAGGAGTGTTTTTAGATAGTTAAACAACAGAAACGATCAAGAAATCACTGTCTGAAAACTAGTCCGCGACGCGGAAATGCATTTAAATATTTGGTCGCGAAAATAATTTTTGAGGCAGAACGGTCCGTGACTGCTTCGCGACGCGAGGAGAAATTTTCCCATCCTGAGGAACAGATCCGCGTCGCGGACCTGGTACCCAAATTTGCCCGACTTTTTCCTTCTTCGTTTTCTAGCCCCAACTCGCCTAAACTCGGTTCTTTTTCCCAAATTCTCTTTAGATTCAGATACCCAGTAAATGTACCTAAGAACCTAACTCAAAACAACTCCATAATTCAACGCAATAATCTCAAAAACTTCTCAATCTCAGCCCAATTCAAGAACAAAAATAAATTCATGAACATATATCAAGAACATCAAACTTTCAACCCTTTTTGGATGAATTCACGCTGAAATAAACATGATTGGCACGTGGGTGAACAAACCCAACGTTATGAGAGTCTCACATACCTCGTAGGGATCACTCCTTGACGAAATCCACAAGCGATTCTTGAAGAACTTAACGATTCTTGCTCCTTCTCCTCTTTTCTCCTCTTCTTTTCTCTTATCTCAAAACCCTAACTTAGTTTTCAAAAGTGTAAACTGACCAAGTTCATTTTAGACCCCAATTAAACTCCTAAAAACGAAACAAAGTAATTTGGTAAGGAAAAGACCAAACTACCCTTCAAAAATCCGGATTACACTTTACTTATTTGAACAACCCAACTTCCAATGGGCATATCTCACTCATACGAACTCGGAATCGCACAAACTCAGCGGCGTTGAAAAGATAATTCCAAGATATTTCCTACGATATATGGAAGCACACATAAATCATCCTGAGATAGGAGTAAGGAAAAGACCAAACTTCCCTTCAAAAATCCGGATTACACTTTCCTTATTTGAACAACCCAACTTCTAATGGGGATATCTCACTCATACGAACTCGAAATCGTGAAAACTCGGTGGCGTTGGAAATATAATTTCAAGATCTTTCCTACAGTATGTGGAAGTACACCTAACTCATTATGAGCTAGGAATTATGGTTGTTAAAGTTGACCAAAAACCCAAACTTAACATAACTTAACAAATTTTCCAGATTTTTCATTCTTTCCTAAAATGACTATTTCCAATTCTAACTCTTTCTAGTTCTTTCAATTTGCGAGATATTACAATATCTTCCTCTTGGGAACATTCGTCCTCGAATGAGATTATTCTTACTAGGCTAAGGGTGTAACATCTAACATTCAACTCAACCACCCAACAAGCAATGCAAATACAACATGCCAACTTATAAATTAAAGAGTACTAAGAAGAGAATTAGTACCTTGATATGGAATTTCTCCGGTCTCAAAGAGACGTGGATACCTCTTCTTCATATCTTCTTCAGCTTCCCAAGAAGCTTCATCAACAAACTGGTTCCTCCAAAGAACTTTGACTGATGCTACTTTCTTAGTCCTCAACTTTCGAACTTGACGATCTAGAATCTGAACATGAATCTCCTCATAAGATAAGCTATCCTTGATCCCGATATCTTCAGTTGGTATGATAAGTGAAGGATCTCTCATGCACTTCTTCAACATGGAGACATGAAATACCGGATGAATTGCTGCCAACTCTTGGGGTAGCTCTAACTCATAAGCTACATTACCAACCCTTTTGTATATTCTGTAAGGGCTAATATACCAGGGACTAAGCTTCCCTTCTTACCAAACCTCATAACACCATTCATGAGTGAAACTTTCAAGTATATGATAACGTTCAAATATACTTCTTGAAAAGAAATATAAACGATCGTATGCAATATATTTACCCAACTATGAGTCGGGGTCGATCCCACAGAGAATATGGAAGAATATTGTCAATAGTAAATATTTAACTCGATAGTCGTTATAAAAATGGGGGATTTAAATTGAAATAAAATAAAATAAAAACAATAAAAAGATAGCTTTGAACTAAGTATTTATTTATATTCAGATTATTAAAAGTAACTAGGAATGTGTTCCCCATAAGCTCATAACGCAGTAATCCTAATAATAGTAATCCTTTTCTAGTGTATTATATGCAAAGTTATAAGTTAGGTATCTCTAAATCCTTGGTCCGGCATCTAGAGAATTTCACCCCGCACCTTGGTCCGGCTACGTGTGTATAATTTACTAACCCTTACTTTTACCTCATATTAGACATCATAATCGATGTTTGGCTTAGTTATTACTTCGCACCAATCGACACTAGCCTATTAGATAGTATCACACTAAATCTATGTTGATAATTCTTTTCTTGTTAATTACCTCCTTGGTCCGGCAAGTAGTAACAAGGCGAGTTCTAACGTTGGCCACCGTTAAAAAGACTTCTAAACGAAAGAATTATCAATGCATGCAAAATACTAGTCAAGAATTGCTTATTTACTATTCATACTTTGTTAATCGCTCATGGTTCTCACAACCCTAGTTATGAAAGTTAGCTACTCATTATCTCAAGAACACAATCAAAATTTATTAAAATAAATATGTTTGTGTTAATCATAAAAAGTTAAGAACAATAGCTAAACTATCTTTTATTAATCACGAATACAAATAAATAATAAAGGAGAAGAAAGAATAAACCACAATTCTCCGGCCTCCACGGCGGCTCTTCCAAAGTTCCTAAGCTAGAAGAAAATTTATATTGTGTCTTGTATCTTGGTTCTTCGCTCTCCTCTAATTATTTCCATGCCCTATTTATAGATGTAGGAAACCCTAAATAAAATAATTGAGTCCAAACAAATTAGGAAATCAAAACCCGAAAGGAATTGGATTCCTTTTTCTCCGCGTGTAGCTTCCAAGTTTGTGCGTGTAACTTCTTTTGATGTTGCTGCCTGATACGTGGACCAGCAGGTAAGTTTTTCTTTCCTTATTTGCATATAAATTATATTAATATTATATTAACTTATTTCCATTAAGCTGCCTGCTTCATTTCCTTCTTCAACTTTCCATCTTTAATTCGTTTTAGCTCCAAACATCTCCAATTTTCCATCAATTTAATCCTACAAATAAAATACACAATTTAGCACAATCCATAAAATTTATGCTCATAAAGGAAAAATATAAATACTAAATGTGAGGCAAATAATGATTAAAAATATGTATTTTGACCTCACATCAGTATACCCAATCACCTACTTCAAACTCTAACTCCCTTCTCTAACATTAGTGTAGGATTTCTGACGACTCTACACTGTTTTCAACCTCTCTTGAGTCACTTTCACTTTCTCCATAGCTTGATGAACTAAATCTAGTCCTATCAACCCTGCTTCACCTAGTTCAAACCATCCAATAGGAGATCTACATCTTATCCCATAAAGAGCTTCATAAAGATCCATTTGGATGCTAGAGTGGTAGTTATTGTTATAAGCAAATTCAATAAGGGGTAAGTGATCATCCCAATTACCTTTGTAATCAATCACACAGGCCCTCAACATGTCTTCTAAAGTCTGAATAGTACGTGCTGCTTGCCTATCTGTCTAAGGGTGAAAGGCAGTACTTAAGTTCACCTTTGAGCCTAAACCTTTTTAGAATAATTTCCAAAACTGTGCAGTAAATTGGGCACCTCTATCTTAAATAATCGAAACTGGCACCCTATGTAGTCTAACTACCTCTTGAATATACAACTTAGCATAGTCCTCTGTTGTATGGGTAGTCTTTACCGTCCAAAAGTGGGCTGATTTTGTTATTCTATCGACAATCACCCAAATAGAAGCATGCTGCCTACGGGACCTTGGTAAACTTGTGATGAAGTCCATATTGATCATCTCCCACTTCCATTCCGGAAGTTCTATATTCTGAGTCATACCACCGGGCCTTTAGTGCTCTACTTTAACTTGTTGGCAATTCAAACACTTAGCAACAAACTTTGCAATGCCTTTCTTCATACTACTTCACCAATAAACATCTCTCAAATCACGATACATCTTTGTGGAACCCGGATGAATGGAATATCTGGAGCTATAAGCTTCCTCCATGATTCTCTCTTGGAGGTCATCCACCCTTGGTACACACAACCTACCTTGATATCTCAATACTCCATCTCCCACTTGTTAAAAAGCCAATATTTTTTCCTTATGAACATTTGCCTTCAATTCAAGCAAAATAGGATTTTGGTCTTGCTTCTCTTTTACTTTTGACACT